CACAGAGTCATCCTTCTGGTTATTGTTTGGGTTGGAACAAGCTGCCTGCATCAGACTTTCCCCCAAAATTTTCCAGGACAAATCCAGGTTATGTGTCCTGTAAAAGGTCACTGCTCCTTTTAACTGCACTCTGGCATGCGGATCCTCAAACATACAGTCTGGAGCAAGCTTTCCAATGGAAATGTTCTGAAGATAGCACGTAACAGGATAAAAACATCTCTCCCAATAAGTATATTCCTTATCTGTTAAATATATTGTAGTTGGATCAATACAAGTGTACCAAGTGTGATAGGAAAAACTTGGGAGGTACACAAGATTTGTTTTGTGCCTGTTAGATTTCAAATGTAAACCAAGAGCAGACAATGAGGATTTTAGGGAAAGATCTTTACTGTTGAGATCGTTAAAGTGATCAAATGTAGCAGAACACAGACAAGGATGGGCCTTTCCTGAAACACCAGATCCTGAATCCAGAATGTCACCCAAAAGGCAACACCGATTCACAGAATTACTCGGTTCTCTCCCTTGCATTTACTCTTCAAGTTTGTATTTTCTCTTTCACTTTGTATTGGCATGAGTAGTCTGTGATCAAAGCCAGATGATTCAAGGAATAAAGGGAAGACTTAGATAATGTCTGGTCAATGCTTGTGTCTGTACAGTTGCTTATTTTAAGTGAACAAACATGATGGCAAAAAGAGGGGCAGGCAGGGCAAGTCCTGGTGTAGTATGGATCGAAGTCCAGAGGAGTTACTTTGTGGCCCCTTTTGTGTCACTAACTTTTTTAACACACTTAGATTATATACACTAGTACACTAAGTACTAGGGGGAAAAAGAATAAAAAGGAGGTGGCACTATCAGAAGRCTTCATTTTCCTTTTTATGTTTGTACAGATACAAGATCTTTTCTACCAGAGGAGAGTCATGTAAACACATACATCTCTTCATTGCTCATTTTCTTTCTTTCCTCTCGGATTCTTTGTCCTTCTTGCTAAACTTTGAACGGCCCTGTTGTGCAGCTCTGGGGACTCTGAGAAATGCAAATTCATTTCACAGCTGTAGACATTTTTACAGAAGTACTGTCACAGTTTCACTGTCAAGGCTACACTGAACACAGAGCAGGTTCATCAGATGCATAAAGTTGCTCCTTAGCCTCCCTATAATGCCTGTTTGGGGGCAGGGGCTGGGGAAAAARGTGCATAGATTTTTGATGATGGGGTGGTTAACAGCTGGAGCAGATGACTGAAAGAAGCCATTCTCCTTCTCCCTCTCCCAACCTTATCCTTCTCCCTCTACCAGCCTTCTGATCAAGGCTTGACGCCTTACTGAGGGATCTGTTGCTGTCACATGTGAACTATTGGGCTCAGCACAAAACTGAGGAGGTGAAATGCAATGGCTGTTAAAGGAAGGTGCTCAAACTACTTGATCAAAAGTGTCCTCCCTCCCACCCTTTCAGTCAGTGTCTTTATTAACAGAATGTAGGCAATATTGTGGAGGATTTCAACTCAGTGTTCTATTAACTTTTGAATCATTACAAATGGAGTCCTTAAGAAATGTGGCATTTGGTGCAATTCTTCTCTCAAACAAGCTTAAAGAAACAGTTTATCAGTCTTCTAATTTATTATTAATGTTCACTAGAATTTCAAAGAGTTGCTCACTAGATGAAAATAGCTTTTATATCTAATTACTGAGATTAATTTGCAGCTACCAGTTTATTTGGATTTTAAGTTTGTATTACAATCCTGGTTTCCATTAATTGCTATATTTGTTCAATTTTATATCTCTAAAAACCTAAGTTAGAATGGTACATTTGGGTTCAAAACTCATAGTTCACAGTTTTAAGCTTCAAGAGTAACAATCACATCTTCCAGATAGCACATTCTCACCTTTTTTTGCAAAGGCACTTCTCAGGTGAGAATCACAGAATGCTGTCTCCTGAAAAAGCCTCATACTGCAGGGAAATGATACCATAAATGTGGGAAAAAAAAAAAAAACCCTGAAGATAGAGGCAAAGTTAAGGCTACTTGGCAGTGGCTTACAGTAAAATACATTACAAAGATAATGCAGTTATTCAAACCCCAAGAATTATAAACCCTGGAAGTTCTAGGGTAAAATTAAATGTAACAAGGAACAAAGCACAAAAAAATGAAGTGTCAAATATCTAAACAATCTTAATTATAGTTGGAAAAAATGTCTTTTAAATCTCTAACTTGYTAGAAGTCACAATGTTTGTTTGCCTAATATGTGATAATCGTATTTAGATATTAATAATTGTGTTTACATTGATATTATTAATTGTGCTTTTAAAGATGAATTGATACCTTTCTACTTCATGGTTTTTAACTGAAAGTTCATGAGGAACCTCTCTCTAGTCTGCAGGGAAGAACAAAAAAAACACAAGCCTTTAAAAATTTCTTAATCATCTCCAAGTCCACAAATGTAGAACTATCTCAGTTCATACTGCATGGTTTTGCCTGGTTACAGTCACCACAGTAACACCCATGTAGCTGTTAAATAGCTCATCTTTTGGAAAAAAAAAGAGGGTAAAGCATAAATTAGAAAGCAATATACATACCAGATACTGCAATGCATCACAGGAGCCTCAGCGGCACTACATGGAATCTGACAACAGGTCGGTGCAACAAGCACACCAGAGGCTACAGCTTTTGGCTCCAGACTGGTACCTCTGCAAGTCCAGAGGGCCAAGAGTCAAAAGGACAGTTGGAGATTGAGGCCTYCGTGACAAGAGCAGATGCATGAGCATGTGAGGACTGGAGATTCCTGAGCAGTGAGTAGGGCTGTGCCTCTCTGTCCCTCTGAGGACAGGAAGCCGTGAGCAACTGGGCTGATGGACCACAGGCACAGTGTGTGAGGAGCCAGCCAGACCAGGCTCCACAGCACAACTCTTGTAATCCCTGATGCCATATCAAACCTTGTCTATCCAAGAAGAATGTTAAAATTGTTACGCAGAACTTGATGACACATTAGAACAACAGCGCAGAAATGCTAACACAAACTTCACAGAGGCCACCCAATAGAAATGGTCAGTCTGCCAGGAGGTGGTAAGGAAACGTGTTTCTAGGTAATACCAGGAACACCAGGTTTTGCAGCCTGAACAATGTCTGCAGAAAAAGCTTAAATTCAACCCCTTGGTGTGCCATTAACAGCTGTGCTTTCTGTGAATGACTCTAATATTTGCTGTGTGTTCATGACAGAGGTGTAATACTATTAATTACAGAGGTGCTGCCTGTAGCTCCTGTAGGCAAAATAGATGTGTGTTACACTCTCTGTGCCCTTTAAACTGAAAGAGCAAAGTATATCATCCCCAAACCTAAAGCACTACCGGAGTAAAATATTCACATGATAAGAGATTACCTGACATCTGCAAACTATTTCCTGGTACAAGAGCCGGATCACGTAATCTTAACTTGGATCAATGGCCATTAATCTCCCAAAGGCACACAGAGGCAAAACCCTTGCTCTGCTGGGAATAAAAAGAAGCTGAGCCTCTCTCCCCCTCACACAATATTGTTCATATTGGTCTGATTTACTCACAGAAAAACCCACAATGAGCTATTTCCTGGGAAAGAACTGCACTTCTAAAAGTTTTTGCTGAAATGCCAACTTTTCCTAGTTGAACCACAGACTGAAAGTTCTCAGCCTGTGCTGCATTGATATTTCTGCCTGAATTCYGAAAAACAGAGAATCTTTTAAAAAGCCACAGGCTCTTTATGGCCTTGGGAGGAAAGAAACCCAATCTAAAGGTTTAACCAATGTCAGTTCTGGCCCACCACAGCATGTCTGAGACCAGCATTTGCAAAAAGCTCCCAAACCAAGACTCCGCATTGCTTCTGCAGTGCTGTTTCCCCAGCATCACCATGGAAGGAACACACTGAAGCCTACAGCAGACATTCTCACTTCTGGGTCCAGAAMCAACTTGCTTCTTAGCTTTTTCTTTGTTCAAAAATCTCAACAGCAGGCCTACCCAGACAGGAATAATTCTTTTTTCTTTGCCATTATTAATGGGTTACTCTGTCATGGTTGTTAAAAAGGCRTAAGTGGTATGAGTCAGCAAGTGAAGGTAACACACACGTGAAGGAGCTGGAAATTCTTCCTTGTTCCTTTCTGTCCGTCTTCTGAAAAGCTTGGTTTTGGTTAGCCAAATACTGGATGATGCTTCAGAGAAACAACCAGGTAGGCTGAGGCATAAGCTGTCCCAGGAAGATGGGTACATTGCTCCACTTGCTGCTAGGGAAGAAGGCTCAGAGCAGCCAGGCAGTTGAGGCAGCAAGCCAAACTCAGAAGGAGAAAGGAGCTGAAATTGAGTCTCTCATTGAGCCCATGGTGACTCACTGTCCATTTCAATTATAAACTCTGCTTTAAAATGTAATTTATTTTTATCTGTTAAATACAGTGAATTTTATAGATCCACTCCCAGAGCCAGTGTCACGACAGTGTCCAAATGATGATTTTTAATCAAGCAGAGACTGTGTACACATGTAGGGTGCATATTTAACAGATGTGCTGTAATGATGTCAGAATTATAAACTTAAAAGTACTTCAGATTGCATACCAATAAAGAGATGCCTRTATAGGCTTTTGGAAAACTCAGCTTAAAACAAATCTAAACCTATCAATTTATGTCAGTGCAGAATTTTGTTGTCCAATTACATAAAGTATTAAGTATCTCATCATAATTCAAATGTTTTTGTCATTTGTCTCATACAGACTTTTTCCTAAGTTTAACCCTAACTCTTTTCATCTTAYAGTAATTCTTCTGGCGGTAATTACTCAATTTCCACAGCAGTAATTTGGATAGCATAAGAGCATGTAACCTCAGCCTTGCTCCCTCCATCATAATGAAGATTTTGCCTTGAAACATACTTTATTCCCTTCACATTATTTAAAATGACACATGATCAATAACATGAAACTGCATAAAACTTTCTCATATGATAATTCTATTGATTTTTAAAAGAAATAATGAAACAAACTGCTAAGACCAAGTTCAACAATACAATCTCTTTTGGTTTACAAACTGCTAAGACCAAGTTCATCAATACCATCTCTTTTGGTTTACAAACTGCTAAGACCAAGTTCATCAATACAATCTCTTTTGGTTTCTTCCTACTAAGTAGGACAAATCAATCAGGGTTATGAAACAGGATAACCTGTTTTCTGGAGCTATTGCACCATTCTGACAACATACTGAATAGCCAGTTTATGCCCCATTGTTCTCTTGTTGCTCTCCCATCCCCTGCACACATCTCGCAACTCCAAATCACAACCTTTTACTGATTCTTCTCTTACTGCATTGTACAGTCCCCAAACCATCCATCTCCATTCTCTKTACTGTGCTACCTCAGTTTGCTACTTCGTACACCATCATGTTCCTTTGCAAAGTAATGAATGTAATTTTAGGAAAGACATACTGTATTTTTCCACATACAGATAAAATGCCAAATTGTGTTAAATGTCACAAATCTGCAAATTGGGACCTCTGTTCAGACTGTATTTAACTAYAGGACTTTACTAGTTCTCTGCAAAGTAAAGCAGTCTCCTGGTAGAAAGTGAAATGGGAAAGCCAAAACCTCTCAGGGTTCCTCTGGAAGCAAAGCAGCTTCTCCATAGGGATGGCTGACTCATTTTCTCTCATACTCTGATCCCCTTAAGACCTGTGCCATATGAAATCAAATCTCTCCCCACGTGAACTTGCGTATTCCTCAATTTCTCTTTCACTCCCCATGATCCCACTAAGGTCTTCATCAAGCAGCTGTCGACTTGTACCACCACTGAGAGCTGCTCCTGCACCCAAGTGGTTGGAGCAAGGAATCTCTTCTGTGGCAGAGGCAGACTAACTCTGGCAGGATGGGATCAGTAACCAGGGAGATACACTACAGGTATATACTGTGCCTGCAGCCAGAAAACCAAGCTCTTTAGAGATTTTTGATGAAAGTCATGTAAAATATCCAAGGATTTGGTTGCTTGCAAGGGACATTGCAAGCATGTGTGTAGGTCACAGATTATTCATCTCTGCAACAAGTGAAAAAAAACCTTCAAAAATATAGGTTCATAAGATGCAGATTTAATGCCTTCTGCAAAATGAACCCTTTATGTGGAGTAAGAGATTYAAAACAGCAGCAGTTTATGCTGAAAAAATGGCTGAACACAGTGGAAGCATTACAGAATACAGAACAGAGGGAAGAATGACAGAATACCCATGGCCTAAATTAGACACACTCAACATGGTGGGGTTCAGCAGCCCTAGCAGATCCATTACTTTCCACTCAGGAAAGTCACAAACACTTCTYTACTAACAGAAACATTCATCTGCAGCATTCCTAAGATCTATTGGTGTTTACAAATTGCAGGATTTTCCTGAGAAGAGCAGGAATTACTGTGTGTCTACATTTGACAATGTTTCAAGTCCAAGACAAGTCACACACAATTTATCTCCCYGAAAAATAAAGCTGGTTTTGGAGGTATGTGTATATCTATCCCACAGCATGCAACTTGATGGCCTGAGAAATTACTTTCTACAAATTATTTTATTTTAAAAATAGTTTTTATGTATGCATTTTAAAGGCTTATTTACAGTAAGTACAATTATTAACTCTGTTAGATGCATGGGCAGATGTGCAGATCAGCCCACACATGTATCTCTCAGATTAATGTTATTTTAAGCTGCTTACATAGTTCCAAAATCCCCAAGATTTGGCCCAGTTGATATGGCTCTAACAGGTGTAATTGGAACAACAAATGTAYTACAGATCACAGCAACATCCAAAGTATTCATCAGGTCTGTGTTCATACTTAGGAAACCTTCCATATAACATTTTAGGCTGTAGCTATCACTGSAACACAGGAGTATTTAACAAGCACTGCCATCAGAGATTAGCAGATTCTCTCAAATAAGTGAAACTTGATACACTAAACCCTTTAAAAGCATTTATTTTTGTCATGTTTAGAAAATAAAATTATGTCATGCCTTGGCTGGCTTTCAGGTGCCAAAATTCAAACCCCAGTACATGCACCCAGCTCACATTAAATGCAATAGGAGACAAGAGACACTGCCCACTTGGCTTTTCCTAAGTGAAATAAAACACAGAAAAAACAAAAAATGGAACAACAAAAAAAAAGGTGTAGATTTTGCTAGAGGTTACATAGCAACAGAACAAGAGGTCAAACTCCAGAGCCCTGACCACCTTCCCTGCATGCTTCTGGCTACATTCACTGTGTGGAATTAGGCCAAACCAGGGTAGAGGCAGTGACGTTGATAAGAAAGTAAAATGGATTAGGAAGCAGTGACATAGTGGTCAAAAATAGACAATCTAGGAAGAGAAGAGAAAGAAAATTTAGAGTAACAGATGAAGAATACTGAAAGCTACCATAAGAAAGGAAGTAAGGTGATGCAACAGCAAGTGTAAATAACAGGAGATGCTCTGATGAGAGGCATTTTTCAGACATCTTAAATAGCTGATTGTCAAAATATTTCCAGTAAACACACAGATGCTGTGCTTGCCTCTAGTAGGTGTATTTACTATAGCATACAATGGTCTGGGTGGTAGGCTGATGCTGAGGGTAGAAAACTCTTCTCTTTACTCCTCATCCAGCCTAGCCCCTAATCAATTTCCAGCTACCTCAAAAATATTATCAGAGCACTTGGCAAAACCCACAACTCAGCTCTTAGCATGCCCTTAGAGTTCAGAAAAGAATTACTTTAAGTTCCACTAAACTCCTTATAGAAGCTATATGGACCTGACACTCGCCATACGGTACTCTTCAAAAGCACACTGCTGAAGTTGCTGGCACTTAGAGCATATAGCAAGCATAAACCAAAAAGGTGCTGTGACTGTCCCAGAATTGGACACCTCACACCTGGTGACAACCAACAGCTCACCAGGGGAGTCCAGCATAATCAACATGGCCCTGCTTTCAAGGGTAGAGAGGGACTCAGAACAGGAAACAGGAATGGACCTTTGGGACAAAAGGACAAGACTGTGGAAGACGGCAAGAATCGGAGCCCTATTTGTCCTTTTTGAAAGTACCAAACACTCCAATAAGCTGAAAGACCAGACAAGGTGTTTTACCCGGCTGGCCTATTTTGCATATGCCTGAACACAGCCTAAATACATCCTTATCCTTAAAATACTAAAAGAATCCTCCACTGGCTTCAGATACAACCACCTCTCCATCAAATTAATCTTCCTGATTACCAAACTTTCTCCTTACCTGGTTCTATAAAATTAAAGTTGACACTTTCTTATCCCAAACCAGCATTTATAAAACTTCATTTTAAAAGTCTGACTCTTGGGAAACTACTAATAAAGGGGGAAAATCGGGGCCTCAGTCTCAACAGTTGTACCCATGCATCTGGTGGCACTGACAAAATTCAAACTCCGAAAGGGCCCCAGAACACATGGATCCACACAGCAGAGGCATGATTTCACCCCCATGTTCTCTAACAGTTCAACATCAGCACAAATCAGAAGAAAAATGCACACAAAAAAGGTTGCTTTGCTTTTTCATTCCTCAGTACCCAAGTCTTTTGCATTCCACTGCCCTGCCCCAGTCTTGGAAACAGTCATCAACTTTCCATGCCCTCCATCTCCTAACAACTACAGCCAGCTACAGGGACCTGCATCCCTGCAGGACTGTGTCTCCCAAGGAGGGTGGAAGAGGCAGAGAAGGGGCATCATGAGCTGCGGCCACAGATCTGCTCAATGTGGTAAATCTCCTTGGGACAGTCAGCAGACAAGACAAGAGGCGCATCCTCTGTTATCACAACATCATCCTCAATGCGCACACCAATGCCACGAAACCTCTCTGGAGCACTCGCATCATTCTCAGGGATATAAATGCCTGAAAGAAGAAAGGGAATTAAAACACACAATACTTTCCAGATCACCACCTTTCACTGCACCACCAGGAGAGCAGAACTGGATTTTCAGCAACATAAAGTGAGTTTGATCCTGAGAATTTTCAATATGGCTAGCTATTCTCTTTCCCCTCCCTTATGGCTGTTGGTAGGCAAAGAAAGGAAAGTGTCCCTCTGTTCCTACAGATATTAGCACATTAATAGAAACTTCCATAGTTACACCTGGCCTTTTCACACTTCTTGCTCTCAATGTTGCATTCACAATGATGATTTTAACAATGTTCTGAATAGAGAGAGAGAAGGAAGCATTAAATACCATTTCCAGCTGACAGCTCYAAATCTAGTGACAAGCAGAAAGAAAGCCGAAAGCAAGCAGAAAGAAAACAGAAAGAAAGGAGAAAGAAAGCAGAAAGAAAGATTCATCATATTATGCCTAATTTGCAAAGCTAAGTTTGTAAATCTCTGAAATTGCAGACTCCAATGCTTGAGACACACTACCAGTGACTGGTAGAAGTTCAGTGGCAGAATGCAGCACAAGTGAATCAACCCTGCTTTTCTGCACTGCAGTTCACCTGTGCCGCACAGCCTGAGCTCCACACTACTCTGCTTCCTGAGTTTACTCCCACTATGTGTTACCTTGGATATGTTTGGGAAAGAAATGGGGATTTCTGATACTGTAATGACTTTGGAAGGTGAATAACTTAAGGCTTTCCAAGACTGCTATAATTGCCAGTTTCACTGGAAAGGACCTGAATGCTTTCATCTGCAGGACCAATTAATTACTAAAAGGCAATACTGTTATCCTCAGTGTTGCATGTTTCTGTTCTGGCTGCTGACTGTTTTTACCTGGTTCAATAGTTATCACCATGCCTGGCTGGAACKGGAGCGATCGGGATATATCTGGGGTATCATGAACATCCATGCCCAGGTAATGCCCCACATGGTGTGGGCAGTACTTTCGAACAGCCTACAAGAAGACAGAACCAGAGTCACAGAGGCAGTTACACATAGCCCAACTTGATCCAATACAAAAGATAGGGAAAAGAGACACAATAGTTATGTGCTTAACTAGCAGTCTGTTGTGGGTTAAGGTTTCTCCTTTTGTTTCCTTTCTTGGGGAAATTTTCTTTCCCATTTTGTTGCTGGGATACACTGATTGCCAGGTCATCCTTTTGATGGCTGGGTGATTGACAAAGACAAAAGAACCTAGCCCCACCCAAAGGATCTCCCTGGGCATTCCTCCTGCCTGGCAGTTTTTTTTTTTCCCCTCTCTTTGGAGAGAGGGAAGTTCTTGCGGGRGTTTTGGGCTCAGGGRGGGGGKGYGTGKGGGGGGGGGGGGGCGTAGCTTCACTTCCTGCCCTGCTTGGCTCGGGGAGGACAGTTGACCTGCTGCCAGCGGGGGAGAGTTCGCCTGCTGCTTTCTGCAGAGCTCGGCATCTCTGTCCGTTGGTTCCTGTTTGCTGCACTGTGATCTTCTGCCCCTGTGCCGTGCCAGGGACCCCTGAGATTCCAGCTGCAGTGGTTGAGTTCTGCTGCATCCCGTCTGCAGCTGTGGGATTCTGCTCTTCTCTTTGCTCGTCTGCCCGTTCTGGGGTTTCTTGCTGTCCAGAGGAGCACCAAGATCGGCGTTTCCGTGGTGAGTTTGCAGAGGAACTTTTCTCCATCCACCTCTGCCGGTTTGTGTCCRCCATTGGCCACGCAGGAGTTCTGAACCRGCCGGGACCCGCGCTACAGTGTCCCTTGCAGCAGCCGGGGAATCATCRCACCCRCCCTGCCCGGCCGGGAGCCAACAGCGCCCCTGCCGACTGGGACYGTAACTGCACCAAAGGGGAGGGTGTATCTCTGTGTGAGGCTGTCACTGGGTTTGGGACTGGGTTGGYTGTTGCTATTGTTGTTGTTACTTGCTTCRCCTTGTTATACATATTAGTAAAAACTGTTATTCCCTTTTACCCATATTCTTCCCTGAAAGCCTGTGATTTTCAAAGCTGTAATAATTCAGAGGGAAAGGGGGGTCATATCCACCACGCCAAGGGGGGTCCTGGCCTTCATTGGCAAGCACCTGTCTTTCAAACCAAGACAYAGTCTTACTGCTATGACTAGGTTACCAGAACTGGATGGGCCTTAAACTGCTCCAGTAGCAGGTGCCTATTATGAGCACATTGCAAATTACCTTTCCCCSTCACTGAAAAGAACAGCCCAAACCCATCACCATCTGAGCATGCCAGGCAAGATGTCAATTTGTAACTCACTGAGCTTTGGTGCCCCAATCTTTTCCCTCCCTTAAACGTCGAAGCCCTGCATGACTCCCATCAGCAGACCCTGACAACTGACAGCAGTGGATACAGCTGCTTTGGGCTGTGGCAAAGTCTTCAGCCTCCTTTGCAGAGCAAAGCAAATGCTGTGCCAATTTCATTCAGTGGCTACGGTATGATTTTAATCCACCTCCACAGGGCATGGACACCGCCTTCCCCCGTACCATCCTAACTTCCGTCCCTCCCTCCAGAGCAGGAACCAGCGAGAACTCCTCCCTGCCTCACGCTGCTCATTGCCAGGGGACAGAGCTGCAGGTGCTGCTCCTGTCTGGCTGTGCTGCCACCTGCTGGGATAATCCGGCATGACACCCTCTGTCCACCAGTGACAGCCGGAGCTGCCATGGCACCGGCACCGCAGGACAACTAAATCTGGCAGGAACCTGTCCGGCTGCCAAAAGTGGTAATGCCGTCACCTGGTTCCGCCATCTTTGCAGTATTGTCATCAGCAGTCATGCAGCTTTGCAGGGAGAGTCACCGGATAAAATTCTCTAACTGCAAATCAATCCTTTTCATATGCAGGTTCAGCTCTAAGGCAGACCAGTTTCCCAGTCTTGTTCACCAGGCAGCTCTGTGAGTACTAACACAAAAAAACTGCAGAAGAGGCAGCAGGTGGAATGACTGACAATAGGCTGCATCTTTTGGTGGCACTGCAAAATGCTGCAGAAGAGGCAGCAGGTGGAATGACTGACAATAGGTTGCACCTTTTGGTGGCACTGCAGATTTATGCGATGTTAAGCAATTCACAAAACTACAAATAACTGCCTGAAGCCAGCCCTGAACCTGGAATCTTGAGCTAATGCTCATGTCCCTGTAGTTCCTTGAGACAATGSTCTAAAGCTGTTTCACTGGCAAGTAGTGCAGAGCAATAGGAATGAATCTGCAAAGTGAAATAGCCAAGGAGCTAATATTCACACTAGGTGCATACATGATGGGGGGTTACATCAAACCAAACTATGCATGAAATGGTTGAATCACAGGTGGATTTACCCAAGTCTCATAGAAATTCATTCCTCTACTGAAACTAGCCCACAAAATGAACCGAAGCAGCGTGTGTCAACAATTAGAATGCTTGAAAGCACAAACTAAAGCCAGTAACACTACCCAAGGATAAAACAATCAGGATTAAAAGGCTAAACTAGAGTAAAAAAAAGTACCTTGAAGAAATGGCTGTCAGTGATGGTGCCCTCCAGGACACCCAAGTCTTTCAGTTTCTGTCCAATAAGGCTTAGCATGAGGCTGTAGATATTATCCAGACTCATGCCTGGGGARCAGAGGCTCAAGCAGGACTTCTGGATATCCAGGACAGCTTGATAAAGTTCTGCTTGGGGTTTAGTGAACCTGAAGACCATTGAGAAAAGGAACATCTCACAAATAAATCTCTACCCAAAACTTATTTTGGGGGCAGATTTAGTTCAAGGATGGAGCAGGGGAAAAGCAGAAAACAAAGCAACTGTCTCCTTGTATGAAGGGCCAGACAAAGCACCACTGGAACGCGCCCTTCAAAACACTGTATAGAGTTTCTCAGCTGAGAACATAAACTTCAAGCAAAGCAAGGCAAAGCTACAGCCCCAAAAAGAATGCTCTTGAGTCAAAACATACAGGAATCAAACAAAAATACAGTGACATCACACCAGCAAATTCATAACTGGCAAAGCTATGTACACATCAATTGAAACTCTTTGTTTTTTTACATACAACTGAGGTCAGCCACAGCTGAATGTACAAAAGCCTTCTCTGCATTTTAAGCATGCTGTAATAGCTGAAAATAGCAATAATCACACATATTCATGCAGTAATTAATGAGGCAGTGGGGAATACAGCTGAACGATTACTTTATATAATTTGATTACTCTGAAGCACCACAGAATGGGACATGGTAAAACTATGATTAAACACACACTCAATCCATCAATTTAAGAACGTAAGAAAAAAGTTAAAAAGAACCTATTGTAACATACCTTCCATTGACAGGCCAGGTACGAGTGATGTCACTCACATAGCAAGAAAACTCACATCCACCATCTAGCAGGACCAGTTCACCATCCTGGAGAATAACAGGAAAGAATGTTCTGTGGGTCAGTCCAGCTATTAATTGACTTTTCTGTCTGAGAGCAAGAAAGGAGGTTATGCTTCTACTTTCACAAAGCAGCTGCAGAAATGTGAATTCCTTTTGTAGAGTAATACCTCGGGTACTACTGTTTATGATTAGGCTATTCCAGCTAGACTGTTTCTCTGCAATGTAGTCTCTGGCTGTTATACTTACCTACTGTCTGAACTTTTACTACGCTGATTTTCAAATATTTTGGAGTAAAAAAAAAGATATTCACTTGGAACTATTCTGCTCTCTGAGACATGAATCCCATTCACTCCTGGATCACTTACTCCACCAAAAATTATACCTATGACTCCTTTCACTAGACGTTCTCTGCTACAATGACTGAGACTGAGGGAGTCTGCAACAAAAACATATGATTTCTGAACTCCTCACAGGATCACTAACAGCTATAAATTTAACTTTCTCATAGGATATGAAGACCGCGGAAAATCACTTTATCTCACAAAATGTGACAGTGAAATCACTCTTGTAAGCTTGCAGGACCTTCCCCTTTCTCTTCAAGGACTTGACTGCTCTAACATCTTTCTGAATCTATCTGGTGATGAAGAAAAAGCTCTTCTATGTGACTCCAATTCACTTTAGCAAAATTGTTCCATATCAATTAAATCACTGACTACACATCTCCCAAAAAGTCACACAGAAGAAAGACAAAGGAAAAAAAACACTGCCTTGCTTTCCGTCTTTAAAGGGTTAACAGCAAATAGAGAACTAAGATCTTCAGAAAGTTTGGATTAAATTCTCTACAGATTTACATCTAGAGATTMATTCCACAGATCCATGACTGTGCGAGCAGACATGATGTGGAATGACAAGGAATAATTTAGCACATTGAGAATAAAGAAGCAGAATTTCACTGCTAGTGCTACTTCCAGTGCTAGCTACTATTGTTGTGTACAGTTAAGTGGCACATATACACAGCAGATAAACCAGCAGTGAACAGATCTCACTATCCCACTGAATAGACAGGCCAGTAACTACCCATTTAACTGTACTTTTAAACTTTTTCAGGATAGCTGGTTCAATTCTTTAAGGCAAATCTGAAGTTAYAGCACCATCTTCCAAGCAATTAAACAAGTTAAGTAACAATTTATTAACTAAGGAAATTCCGCCCGATTGTCCAGTAAATGCCTTACATTGTGCTTGTCCTCATTCTTCAAAGGAGAGCCCTCTAAGTGGGAGACTGAAATATTCAGATACCTCCCAAATAAGACACTTTGTTAGCCTGTTTAGAAACAAGATCTGTAGGAAACAGCATACAAAGGAAAAGAATCAAGTTTATGGGTTTAACCTCCTACTTCATAGTTTTGAAAAAAAAAAGAGAAGTGACATTTAACTGAATAACTTTAAAAGAAGTAACTGGAGTTACATCAGCACATCTGACCTTGGATGACAGAACAACAAAGGAGGCTTCTTTCTGCCAAAAGCAGCCTGTCATATCTTTTGTACATTTGTCTCTGCGGATCATTTCAAGGTCTGCTAGCATGCCAGCTTCAAGAAAAGACAATGCTAGTGGGAAAGTTTCATCCTGCATTAAGACAGAGGAAAAATATGCTTCTCTGAAAAGTAAATAGTGAGCAGAGCAGTGAGGGAACAGTGCTCCTGAAAATACTTATTTGGATCTAAAGTCCTATTGTCAGGAAAGCTGGAAAGGTTTCAAGTCAATGAGAATCTTAAAAATAAGACAAAACATTTAACTCTTCCACTTCTTGACATTTTATGCTGATCCTTTCCCTACTTTTCTGGGCTACATGGAATCAAAATGCTTTTCAGCTTCACCAGAGCAGGAGTGCACTTTGCCCCTTATGACCTTATGCAAAGCAAGGCCAAGCAATGCAACAGACAGCAGATCCCCCTGGTGCCTTCACTCTGCCTGTGACAGTGGGTCCCCTTTTYTGTGAGGCCCCCAGCACTRCACGCTGTTGTGAGAGCAGGCATGTTCACTAAATTATCTGCAACTTTGTTTGCAAATCCTTGCACTGTTCAGAAAATACTGCAGCAAGCACTGAGAGGAAAGAAAGACAATTTAAATCTGCCACTGACAGTGAAACTGACCAGAGCAGGATTCTTTGCCCTTGCTCACTTAAAAAATATGTATTTAAGTGCTTTGATCTGTTCAGTCAGAACAAAGAGCAGCTAGGGAACATATACTGGTGTTACAGCACAGCATTTCAAGTTGCTGGACAGCACACAGGTTACCTTGATGAGCTGATTGTTCTTCACATAGTGCAAAGTGTTTGATCTGTTGCCACCAGCAACAACAGGGGGGTATGCCAAGATGTCAGCACCACGAGCTCGGCACTCAAATTCGAACTGGAACAACAATTCAGAGAAGAGGAAACCATTAGTGCAGATTTAGGTGATTAACTGCCCTAGGGCCATAATATTTCATGTCCTACACCCGTTTTCTTAATTTGTGCAACACAAAGTGAAATTGGAAAATCAATTTACTAAATGAAAGCAGTCTTGAATGTTTTCCAAGAACTCTGGAGAAAAAAAATACAGAATGATCCACTTCTCAAGAGTTTTTAAAGCCCGTATCTGGTCTCAGGGAAGCTCTTTCTGGTACAAGTTGTTCAATATTGTCTCAAACATTCATTACGTTGTCATAATCCAGGTGAGAATTTGTTCCTACATAAAGTAATGCTTTTACTTGCCATACAACTTTGCAAATTTTAGGAGATCCTATATACCAGTATGACAACAGTCATGGTTTGCTGCTGTCTTTCAAAATTGCAAAGTACCAGCATATTTCCAGAAGAACTGTTAAACGAAGAATGTTTGAAAGCATGCACTACACCTTGTTGTCTGAGGGGATAGAAGAAAACAGCACCATAAGCCTCAAGATCTTTACCTTTCTTGAATGATGAAGCTGATGAAAGTATAGAAATGAACAAACTTACATCTAAAAATACTCTCAATATATTAATAGCATGTCTTTTCTATGATTACCAAACCCACACAGAATAGAACACTCCAGGATGCCTACATGGAGAAAAGTAGGTTTTACGATCCTGATCTGTAGTGAAAAACTGATCTGTAAAATGCACTTCAATTAAAATAGTTTTTACAACTCAGTACTGCCCGTGCCATGTCAGCACAGGCCCATCCATGTCATAACTGAAGGCAAATCCTGCCGATGTTTCTCAAACAGGTATCTCACTGCAATTCCTTACAAAGTTCCTTACCAAATGTGCAGGCCAATTAGTCCTTATTTTGTAACTGAGAGGCATCTAAACTGCTTCAAGATGGCTGTGGTAATCTGATGTAGTAAGAGGCTAGAGGCAAGAGAAGCAGGCTTTAACAAGCACAAACAGGTGCTTTAACAACTTAAATTTCATACAACAGATCTGTATTATAGGATAAGGTAATAATTTTATCTCTGATTGTTTAGCAAGTTTTGCATTTCAATATAGTACAAARAAACATCAACAGAAATAAACTTTGACAACTGCTACACTCCTTAAATAAGGACACATGAAGTACAGCTAAAGAATTCCTCATATTGATTCTTCTGCATGTCCAAGGAACCACAAGACTTGGGCAAAGAAGAAATGTGCTACAATGGGAGACATACAATAAAGAAATCTTAACATTTCTGGTTTCCTGGCAGGAAAACCAACATCCAGCCCTTCTCTCTCACTTCCAGCTACAAAATACTCACCTTTGCATACAGAAAGGCTTCATCCACTGGGGATTTACTGGCAAACATTGTCTCTGTGAAAGCCTATGAAAAAGAAGGAACTTTCAGTTAGCAAAGGAGCCTGAACTTGAGAGAAGTGCTTTTTTTCCACCTACTTCTTGAAGAAGACCTTTCAAAAGGTCTTCAGCTGGCCCAGAACCAAAGGGTTTCACCAACTTCCTTGGTGAAAGTGCTGTCAAGACTAGAATCAGTTCAGCTCTGTTCCCTAGGAAATTGTATTTAGRGGCTGATTGACTCAAGTTTTTGGAAAAAAAAAGATAGATGGTTGAGGCTGAGCCCATGGCTTGGCATTTTAGAAGTTGTCTCACRTATGGATTCCCTCACGTATAAGGATTGCCTTAAGCAGCCTTTCTTTCAGAGAAGGTCAAACTCTGCCTCTCTTTTTTTTTTGTTATCTATTTTAATAATATTTACAAAAATATTGCATTTGAGGTATCTGTCAGATTTGTTTAAAACTGGCGAATGAGTTCCAAAGGTATTTGAGAGAGAAGCAGGAATGCAGACACATATATAAGCTATGTCTTCATAAAAAACCTGTTCCCTCAAAATAAACAGAATAGATGGGAAAGAAAATTATCTGGGGAAGGAGAGGGGAAGCTGGGAAGAAAGTGAAAAGAATAGCTCTGTACAGATACTACTTTTAAACAGTCTAAGAGCTGCTGGCTTGTCTTCACTGGAGTTACACAAATCTTAAGAATTTGGTAGTCCAAGCAGACTTCCCATTCCTCCTTGTCCTGGGGAGGAAGCCAAGCCCAGCCTGTGGCTGAGACAAAGCCTGACTAGACCAAAGCTCTCCTTCCAACCCATGTCACCTCATCAGTGGAATACACTGGTTCATTTGGAGAGCACACAACCCCTTTACCTCTGCTGTCACCCGTCCAGCTATCTTCATCCTCTCAATCTCTGCAGGAGATTTGATCAGCCGAAGGTTTTGCACAAGATGTTGAATGCCCTGGACGTGGTTCTTGCTCCGAGCTTTTATCTCAGCCAGGGGCTGTAGGTAGTCAGAGTGCAGCTTTGTATGTGCTGGCTTTCTCAAGTCATACCAAACCATGTTTGACTCACCTGGAATACAAAACAAAAGCTGATACAAACAAAACTAAATGTACAAATGTCCTCCCCATACCAAACAAGCTCACTCCTCCTAAACCAGATCTGTTGCTATACTTAAGAAAAATAATTTTCTCTGAATATACTTAGTCATGTAGACACTTGCATTGTCACAGAATACCAGCAATCTATTCTAAGTCTAGAAGACTACCCATTCATAGCATGTAGATTTGATAAATCACCATTTCTAAGCAAATAATGGGGTTTACAACCATCACTGAATATATACATCAGGCCCAGATCCATTCAGAGTTCCACTTGTGTAAGTTAAGTAGTCATCACATTACTGTGCACCTTCTGAATCATTCTCCCATTCAGCCTGTTCACAGAGGATGGAAGGGAATTTACCTTTTTGTACAGAGTAAGGGTCATTATCAACAGCTTCAGAACACTTGGGGGAACAATTACTTTTTTCAGCCATTCAAAGAAGATGAGCTTACTCAGAACCAACACATTTACCCACTTCATTCAGAACATCAGTTAGCAACCACARGAACATTTTAAATGCAAGTGAGTAGAAGCTATGGTGTGTCACTGCTGATGTCCACCTAGGCCGTCCTTCTTTGGTGACAGTAACCATTAGCTGGTGCTTACAAAATGTGTCTAAGAAACTGGGCATTTATTAAAGAGTATTTTCCTTAGCTGATCTGCTTTTCATGCACCTCTCTCCTACAGAATTATAAACTTCTGACTCCATTTTAATTTTGACATTCCAAATCTTCCATGAATGAGGTACAACTTACAAGGTGCCAAAACCTGYTGTGATAATTTCATTAAGTGTTCCCTTTGTTTTTAAATTAAGAAAAACAGCAATCATTCATAGTCATCCTCTCTGTGCTTTTCCCAACTATACTATATCTCATACCTTGCCTTTTCCTTTTTTCAAGCTGAGTGGGTTTGTTCAGCATGTATCTTGCACACATTTCATTCTGTTTTTTATCATCTTTTGCCCTGTGACTTACCTATTTTAARGGTATCCTTTTTTTGAAACAAAGTAACTGGAGTCCATGACGGTATTTAATACTCCAGAATTCTCTCTCTCTAGTTGTGTCACCCCTCCACAGTCACATTTCCCCTTATTACATTGTCATAAGCCTTCTTCAGCTTCGTTTTATAATGCATTTAAGTTCCCCCTGGATTATAGCTATTGAGGCCACATGATGATGACAGATGCAGAAGAACATTTYTCTAAAGGACAAGAGCATTTGTATTTCAAGGGCAAGTCATCATCTGGCTAAATGTGAGTGGACTAACAAACTCCCTGTGTGGATCATTTTCCAAGTCTACTATAAATAAAAAGCCTTCAGTTTCCTATATTTCATCTGGTTCYGGCTGTCAGCAAACAGGTATGACTAAAAGAGTAACACGGTCTTGCTTAACCTATTCCTTCATATTTCATGGATGTGCATGAAATGTGCACAGATGTGCAGACTGGCATTCACATACACAAGAAATACAGAAATTTTCAAAACTACATATCCATTGGTGGCCCTCAACAAGCTAACATGAACTTCCTTTGTCRCAGCCATCTCCCTGCACCTCCCCAAGCTCATTTTAGTCTTGAACTGATGTCACAGACCACCTCCCAATACCATACCATTCAGGCTCTGCAAACCACATCTCATCTCATTCTCCCTCTGTTTTTTGTTACCTTTCAGCTTGGCCACCAAGTGCCTGAACTCCTCAATGTTGTAAGCTTCATCTACTCCTGTGAGAGCAAGTGCCCCATCGGGGCCTGATCTGGGCCCATCCCATAGCTCTCGACTTGGATCTCTCTGAGGCACAAAAAGTATGGATTTGTGAGATGGCAGCGCTTTGCCAGGAATGCTCTGCAGTACCAGGATGCTGTCAGGCTCCTGAAACCCACAGAGGTACAGGAAATTAGTGTCCTGGTGGAAAATATAGGGGATGTCATTGCTCATGTAGTATGTGGGGTTGGATAGCAGAATCACTGTGTGGTCCAAGCCATCCCAGCCTTGGGCTTCCTTCTGGATCAACACCATCAGTTTGTGTCGGCGAAGAGCATATTCTACCTGTGACAATCCTGGGGTTACCTCTCCTGTGAATAAAAAACAAATCAGATAGAGAAATTCAAGGCACTCAGGATATTTTACTAGTCACATGCCTGATTCCTGCCTACTCCCTTACATGTGCATGGATTCATTGCAATCCCTCACTAGCCTTCCCCTTGCTCCTCTTCAGCTTCTGTCCTTACAGCACATGCTCACTCAGTATGATTCTCCATCATGCAAATACTGAAATTGATTTGAACCTATTTCTGTGTAAAGGTAGAGAACACAAAACCTGGTAGTTCTAGACAAACATCCAAATGCTTTCAGAGAGACATATTAAAAAAGGGGGGAGGGGAAAGGCAAACTGAACTTTGACTGTAAAGAACTGAAGGGTTTTACAGCATCTGGACATTGAACAGAAGTTTGTCTCCTGAGGTTGAGCATTAATTTCCTCAGATAAGCTAGAATGTCTGTTCAAATACACACTAAGTCAACTTATAAAATGACTATTTTTAAACCACAAGGGGCATATTAAGTGTGAGAGATTCTGGGAGATCAGGCAGAAGCACAGAGATTGCAGAGTGTAACCAGCCACAAGATTCCAGGCAGAAACTAACCACTGACTGCAGGCTGGTGTAAGACTCCTGTTAAAAGAAGGGATCTTCTCCAGGGCATACATAGCTTTTCTCAAAGTTTAACAATTCAGATTTTTCTACAGTAAAATAATAGTGACACTAACTAAACAAACAATCTCTTAGATGAAAGTACTCTTTCAACTGCTCCAGTTTCGAAAGATATGAAGTACAACAATCAAGACATSGAAGTAARACTGAAGTTGAAAGGACAACCAACAACAGCTGAAGTATGTATTTTTAAAATTGTAAGACTGCTTAATTATGATCTAAAACAATATAAGAGCCTTAATCAGTACTTTGGCTAACACCCTACTTCAACACAGATTGCATTTTGATACTGTTAACTTTTTTCCACTTTCATAATCTTTTCTTCCTCTTTCATGTATTACACAGTGATAAYTCTAGAACAAAAAGTGACATTTGACTTGTAAGGCAAGTGGATTCTTGCAAGGGTGCAGTGGGAGGGGGAAGTTCTATCCAGAATGTTTTTCCTGGACAAAGGAATTTTAAAAAATTTTATGTTGTATTTGCATTACATTTTACACCTTTTCAATTAWATCCTCAATACCTTTTAGGTGTGAAAGTTTTTAAAAAGAACAAACAAACTCAATAAACCCACCATTTATTTTATAAACATGTATTTTACTCTGAAAATGTAGAAATGACAGTGAACATAAACTATTTTAATGCAGTCTGGCCTCACAAGTCTACAATATTACACTGCAAATTTCCTATGTTCCACCGCRTTCCAGTCAGCTTCCTAACTGCCAATTAGAAATTCAGAAGCTGCAGTGGGGTGGAACATGGGGATCCCAACTGTCTTCCAACTCCAAGGCCTGGAAATTCCCTTTGCATTAAAGGCATTTGCTTTTTAAAACAACAATTGCAATAAATAAAGTAATATTATTTTAAGGAAGACCCCTTTCCTTTATTAAATAGGAAAATACTAAGGACAGCTGGAATTCCCTACCAGCTGCATTTAAAGTGTTCCAGCTGCACTTTAAGGAATCAGTCTCATTTATTGTGAGCTGTTAATCAGTGCCCTAAGCAAACTGATCTAATGCTGARATTAGCCTGGCTTTAGCCTGGCTTTGAGCACAGGGGTACCTGAAAACTTTGTGAGACTCCTTCTGACCTGAACTGTTCTACAACTAAATGTATATATGTATATATGTATACACACACACACACACATTCATCTGTTCTCCCTTTATACCCACATATGGAAGAACATAGAATGTCTTCCTGAACATATACTTGAATATATTTTTGCTGCAATTATTTTTCAGTGTTTTGGATTTAATTGTGGTCATCATATACCTACATGCTCATTTTTGTTAATCTAAAAAAAATGCACAACTTCAGGTTCTATCACTACAGTTGAACTTCATAGTCTCTTTTTCTCCTTTTCCTCATACTGAATACTCCTCTGAACAGGAAACATTCTTTATACAAGTAATGTCCACTTATTAATATTCCTCCCCAGTGACTCTCAAGACATGAGATATGAACCATTCTGACAGTTCAGCTTGCACAAAAGACTCCCTCTTAATAAAACCCAAATTTGCAGGACAACAAGCCCACAAAATGTCACTGCCACAAAAGGTCTGCAGCACCCAAGTAAACAACCCTGAGCATGCCATGCGAAAAAAAGTAAAAAGTTATGAAAGCTTTTTGTGAAGCCTAGTTTTGGAATCAGTATCAGACAAGGAGATTAGCTAMTGAATATAATTACTGCCTAAGGAAGGTAACCATAAACAGCTGAAAACACAATGATGCTRTGCAAATCAATATACTCAGAATAACAGAGAGAAGAAAATATCAATGACTGGCTCATGCAGGGCCCAAACCTCACCTGGTTTGAGCAGATGTGGGTGTGTGAAGGGGCTGGGCTGGCCCAAATACCGGTTTGGAATCTTCTTCTGCTGGGCAGGCTGGATGGAAAATCGTCGGAGAGCACATGACTTGCAAACTAGAGGAAAAGAAATGCACCATGTCAAAGTGAAAAAAAAATAAAAACCTTTCCAGCTAGGAAACTGCAGAATTGTAGCCTAGTCATCACTCTTAGCAACATTCATTCATTTATATGATAYAAATATCCTTCCTTAACATCTCAATTTGTTGAGTATTGTAATAGTTTATGAAAGAACACACAACCCAACTGACAATCAAATATTCATAGAACAGACATAAAGAAATGAACATATGTTAAACCTGACAACCCAGGTTGAGAAAACTCAGGAAGCTCTGTTGGTTCACACATTCCAATTCATACAATTGGTGTTCATGAGGCACTGGGCACTSTTCCTCTCCCTTGCTTCCCTCAAACACCACAGGGCACCAAGCACCGCATCTGTATATTGTCTCTTCTTCACAATGTCTTMAAAAAATTTCACTCATCAAAATAACACAGATTTATAGAGCAATGTGATTTTCTTTTCCTGTATGAAGATAGCTGTGAGTCGCTGTTTATGTATTGACCTTCSATGGCACTGGCATTTGCTAAACAGAATAGTTATGTATCTCACTTCCAAACCCACACACAGCCAAAGCAGACTGACTTTAAAGACAACCACAAGCATGCATCTGGGAGCTGGAGCTGGGCACAATCAGACAAAATCTAAAATTACAAATGAATTCTCAGAAACTTAAAAATTCTCAGTCACAGCCTTCTGCAGCAGCAGAGCTGCTTATGCCTGAACACAAATCAAGACATGTGGAAGAATGGGTAGTCAGAAGGTACACACCTGTCTGATGTTTTGGAAAGTGGTTGATGTTACTTACCATGTGCCTACTACAAAATCAATTTGTGCTGCCATAGCATGCCACAGGATTCTTAGAACAAATGCTATTAACTCTTAACTGCCATTTTATGCTATCTAGCATAAACAAAGAAAGCACAAGCCAAATATCTGCGTTTCAGGGCACTGAGACTTTGAGGCTCACAGCAAAACACAGACCATGGACTTGCTACGGGAGCTAGTACGATTACCCTCTAATTGATGCTGATTCGTGCATGACAACTAAAAGTCATAACATGMAGCGTTCACTATGTGATGCTTGACTAGAGACTCGGGAGGTGAAAAGCAGCTCCAGCTTTCTGTGCAGCTTACTTTAAAACTGGTGCTTTCACTGTTACTCTCCACGCACACAACAGACAAACACGACAGCCCGCAACGAGACGAACATAGCGGGCTTTTAATAAAGCAATGCCTTGAAGGCAGAGAGGAGCTTCCCACACCGTTGCTTTATTTTTCAAGTTACTGCCTGTTCTTCCCTAGGGTTCAGCCCTGACGGGGGCTGCCACTGCGGTGCCGGGGACAGCTGCTTTCCCGCGCCTCCAGAGGCGAAGGCGGAGCTGTAAGCGGCGACAGCTGGGAGTCGCTACCGGAGCCGCAGGCGGTGTCAGGGCGTGAGGGAAGAGGGGTGTCTGACCTGCGGCGCCGCGCCAGACTCTGTTTATCAGAACGAGCCCCTGCCGCGGGAGCCGTGRCATGGCCGGGTCACACGGCGCATAGTTGGGACCTTTCGGCACCGGGCGCCGCGCGCTGACACCATCACCGCGCGCCGCCAATGAGCGACGCCGGGCCTGCTTAGGTGCCCGTGGAACCGCCTGCCTCGCCCGCCACGGGAACCCGGGCCACAGCAAGAGGGGAGCGGCTCCACACGGGATGGAACGCGACACTCAGGCCACCGTTGCCTCTTCTAGAACGTTCACGCCGCCGCGCCGCGGAGGACCGGGGCTATGACCGGCGTGGGCGGGGTCAGRGCTTCGGAATGGGATGGGCGGAGCAGGCTGGAAAGTTCCACGGCACCGCGCAGCGTTTGTGGGTGCGCCCATGGCGGAGGCGGGCGGGGCAATGCCCGGCATGGGCGGAGCCAATTGTGGTGGGCGGTGYAATGACTTTTTGCAGGCGGGGTCGCGGGCGGGGCGAGCTGGAAGGTTCCGCGGCGGGTGGGTGGGGGACTGAGCGCGCCTGGGCCGCCGCTGGGCCGCCATGGACTCGCGCAAGCTGAGTGAGCTGCGGGCCTTCGTCCGGCTGTGCAAGCAGAACCCGGGCCTGCTGCACACCCCGGAACTCGCCTTCCTCCGCGAATGGGTGGAGAGGTTGGTCCCGAGCCACGGAAGAAGGCGGCCGTGGGGGGCGGGGGGGAGGGGAGGGTTTGGGTGTTGTGGCGCGGGGCGCGATGAGGGGAGGGGGGCGTGTCGCCTCAGCGCGTGCCAGCGCGCGGGTGCGCCGCGTGGCCGGGGGCGCGCAGTGTCGCCCCCGAGGGTCCGCTCCGGTCCCGCGCTGCGGCCTTCCCGCTTTTTCTTCCCCCTCTCTTTTCGCCCTCTCCTCGTCTTCCCGCCGGGATTACTCCTGGCGCCTTAAAAGGACCTGTTAATTCTTTGATTTGTTTTGTTAACGCTGGCTATTCCCGTTGCAAAAAGTCTGCCCCCCGGCCATCTCAGTGGCTCAGTTTTCCAGCCTGGGAAGCCCCAGAGTAATACTTACTGAGCCAATTCTCGCATTACGCAGCAGAGTTGGCTAGTCTGTCTTAAAAAGGAGTCGAGTTTTTGGGAAGATGTGTGACATTGATTTACAGCCTGGTGCCCAAAACCACAAAATACCTGACAGCTACAGTTCCTTACCAAAACGTGTTTTGCTCTTTGAAGTTTATTGTCTCAGAAGTAGTCGAATTCTCCACTCCCTGTGAGCCATTCGGGTGCCTGCTGTTTTTGCCACACCTGGGGTGCGCGGGGCCTGTCTTAGCAGATGCTTCTCAATTAAAAATCTTCTTTGGGTTCCACCCTGAGCGCCCAGAAGAGCGAGGCTGGAAGGGTTGAGATTCTTTGCTGCTGGCAAAGGCCCCACAGAACCGCTGTGTTCAGCAGCGGTACCTCTGCTTGGCKTTTATGGATGTTAGGCTAAAGAACTCTTGAGAAGTCAGGGACTTACTCTCAGGTGCAAGTTTTATGCAAAGGGAATTGAAAAGATTTTTATCTAGTGACAAACTGGGATTTGTTTTAGAAAATTTGCGTTAATCTGAATGTGTTTTAGACTGTACTTTCTGCTATATAGTATTTGTAACTACTTGARAAGCCAGCAGGGTTTTGTGTGCGTAGATATGTACGTATATATGCACGTATATATGTATCGAAGTAAACGCTGATATTTCACGACATGTTCTGTAATGAAAATGACTACAATGAAGTGCTTGTTTTGGGGTTTTTTATATTTATGTTTAATTTTTTGTGCATTTGAATATTACTGTGGTGGTAAAACCACATGTATTTAGCTGAACTTGGCTTTGCAGTACTGGCAGTAGATATCCCTCTGCTTGGGAGGGGTTCGATGTCTGTTTTACCCTACTGCAAGTCTCTAGACCTTTTGACACTGCATAAAATATTTCAGTGCTTTACCCTACGTTTCTTCCAGTACTTTCGTTGCGTAAATATGATGGTGTAGACAGGCTACGTTAAGAAGGAGAGGAAGAATACTTCTTTTGGCTGAAAAAAGTGTTAGGGAGTGGAAAGATGACCATCTGACTTTCTCCATGTTAATGACGTGGAGTTTAATTTCTAGATTAATTTTTATAATTTGTATTTGGTGCTTGTCTTACAAATACAGGAATTTCATTTAGAGCCATGGAATGTTTTTACGTGTAAAATTTCACTGAATGTCCTTATCTCAGAAGTTAAAAAAATACTTTAGAGCTAAACTTCCTATAGCTTTCTCAAGTTCTCTGGTYTTCTTCATATAGTTGAGTTACATATTTGCCTGAGTAATACACTTGGATGGTGGTAGTTGTACCCAAATTACTTTCCATGGAAAACTATCTGGAAATCTGGTGGGTTTACTTCYGCTTTTACATGATAGTGCTGTTTGCAGTAAGTGCATTTATAGTGCCTGATCATTCTTTGGAAACTGCTTTAAACAGTATGGCCCACCTTCAGGTGGAAATAAACTCTAACTTTTATGTCTCTGTCTGGCTTACTTGTCTTAATCTGAAAGACAGGTTTATTTACCTAGGTAGGGTTATGAGTGATTAGAATAATGACTGAATGATACTAGAATCCATCATTAAATTTTTCAACTAAAATTCTGTTAATTGCTTTTTTTTTTCCTTAATCCTGGTGATTCTAATTTAAATTACGATAACTACTCATAAAGTCAGAATGGAATGCTTTATTTCTGACTAGCTGTTAATATTGCATCAGTAACCTTAAGTCTCACCTGTTTTCATGCACTTGTTGTTTTCTAACCTTTATTCTGCCTAGCTGTTGTGTATAATTTTTATATAGATTCTTTTTGTAGTGAAAGCATACAGTAGTGCGTGAGTGTGTTTGGAAAGTATTTTGACATTCCTTTCAATCATACCCATTTTCTAATAATTGCATAAAAACACAAWTTTTTTTTGAATTATGAAATGAGTCATTAGAGGAAACACGTTTCAAAACCCTGCAGTTGAACAGAGAAATAATATCAGTCCTTAAAAATAAAACACAGAATCCTTAATTGATGAATAAGGCTTTTTGCYGTTGTTTTGTTCAAATAGATGTTTACCATTTTGAGTTCACAGTAATCCAGTTTCTCTCTAAAAATAATTTTGCTGTCAATAATAAAAATAGATGCCAAAATCTTATTTGCAGTTCTTCCAACAAGTCATAAATGTGATACTTATCATGGCTGTGATAAGTAGAAATGCGCAGTCACTGTTGCACATGAATCCTGACAATTCCCAGTTGTTACAGGCATTGCACAGCTTAAACTGTTTCTCTTGTCTATGTCTATGATTTTTCTACAGCTCAGTACCTGCATTTCCTATGTGAGCGTCTCATGTTTTCATATACAGCTGAGATTAAATACTTTGCAAACTTTGCGYGTATCCCTGTTGGGAATTTATTCATTGTAATCAAATACTGACTGGGTTAAGAGATTTTAGAGTAACTTGGCTTGGAGCTGTTATGGGATTATAACAATAGTAGTTTAAATAGAGATTAACGGGATAGCAAAAATATTTTCAATGACTGAGTGAAACTGTTTAGCCTTGGCAGTTCATGAAATAGCGTATTATAAAACATGCATGTATATTAGTAAACATTTCTCAAACTGATCTAAACTTGGATAGTTTTGGGGGGTGTAAGAAGAGGACAGAGGAGATTTACTAAGTTGTTTCAGTCTTGAGATGATTTAAGGTGTCAGACTTAAAAACCAGCTGATACCATGAATATTAGCTATTAGCACTGCTAAAATGTTTCATTACTTGTAGTTTTTTTTATGCAGAAGAAAAGTTCCAAGGCTTCACTAGATGGTCTCTGTACTCCTCTCCTTGATTTTTACAGACTATTGGAAAGTTATGTACTTTTTTGTCAGCCTACCAGGGCAAAACTTTAGGAGGAACAGTTAGTACATTATCCATGTTTTCTGCCAAGCTGGATAATGATTTCTTAGACTGCAGTTGTTTAGTCCTTGCAGTATAACTTTGATTAAGTAATATCAGCATTYCAGGGACACATGTAGATTGTTGCAATAGCTTCAGAACCTGCTGGGATTTGTCACTTGTTTGTTTCTGGATTTTTTTGTTGGTYGGTTGGTTGGTTGGTTTTGGGTTTTTTGGACAGCTTTTTGTTGTAAATGAGAAGTAGCTTAGTGCTGTTGCTTGTCTTTTGATGCAGGGCCTTATGCCAGGACCTGTCAATCCTGTCTTTTTCACTCTTCTACCCTTGCGCCCCCAATTCATCCGTGTCCTGTTCTGTCCTATCCCACCGCATTCAGGCTTGTTTTCAGCCAGTTTAAGGGCTGACTCTGAGATGGTGCTGCTGTGCTGACAGAAGGGAGGAAGGAGGGAGAATGAACTGCAGTAGCTTGCCATAAGCTGTAATTTCACATCCTTGGGATACAGTTTTATGTTGCACTCATACCTGAAAGCAGATAGTCCTACAGCCTTCCAGTTCCTCCTGCCCCCTTCCCCCCCCCCCATTTGTTCACCTCCTTCTCCTCTTCCCTGCATCCCATTTAACCAGTTGTGTGAGGCCCAGAAAGTTGGTTGTTRAGTTCATAGAAATGTGGTTATTGAAAACCCTCAGTAGGTGGAAATGCAGGGCAGGGGATGGCTGGGAATGCTATTCCTTGTGGCATGCTCTTATCGATATGATAATACATTCTATCAAACAAGTGGAGAATTCAGCCTCTGCGTATTCCTGGCTGCTAACCAAAGTCAATATCATGTAGAAGTTTATTCTATATTGRCAGAATGCTGTCTACAAAGTCTGCTCCTTAATTATAATGAAGGAGAGGTAGGAATATTACAATATGTGAAAGAAATTAYATTTTTTTTTCTAGGCAGCAAGTTGTTTTTAATAGCATAGGCATATTATGTTGTTCTCTTTGTTTGGTCTCTGTTCAAAATAATTATAATTTTAGTAATACTTTTAATCATAATATCTAGTTTTTAGCCAAACAGATATTACAKTTAAAGGAGAAAATCCATTTGAGCCAAGAGGCAGCTTTTCCATTTGAGAAAGGGTGGGTGAAGGTTGATGTGAGTGAGTACAAGCCTTAATGGAGCTGTACAACAGTGTGCATT